TAACCAGTCCAAGGTCCACCATCCTCAGTGCTTTCTTCTTTCCATTCCTTTATCTGCAATGAATGTCTTGTCCTTACATCATCCCACACGCGTGTGAGCACATCTGCAGGACGGTCTCAGGTGGCGTGTTGCAGAACCGAACGCTGTGACCGTCTAACATTTCCTGCCTTTTGCTTAGTTAGCCTGCTAAAAGGTGACAGATTTATACTCCCAGCGGCCATTGCACCGCTCAGTCCTGCTTGAGTCAGACATCTCTGCTGCTGACTGTGTTTGAATGAACACCGTTTAAATCCATCTGCACTGGGTCAGAGGGAGGGTCATAGTCTGGGTGGCATCTGCATGCCAGGCCTTATCCTCCTCTGTACCTCACGAGCCCTGTGTGTCTATTTCTGTTCCCCAAATGTGCCCTGTGTCTCCTGTCCTCCACCTGCTGCTTCAACAGTTTCTTTCATTCAGATTCAGGTACAGCGAACACTTCTTGAGAAACAAGCAGGGCTGGTACAAGGTAGACTCTTTTGCACCTGTTTTTACATTTAATCCACAGATCAACTCTAGGAAGTAGGCCTTTGCATGCCCATGTTACAGATGACAAAACTGAGGTTCAGAAAGGTTAAATAAATAGACCAAGTTCATCTAACGAGTATCTGCTACATTCTCATCAGACAGTCTGAATCTGTCCTTCCTCCCACCCCGGTGCGTCTCATCCCAAGGCATAACTCGGGCAGAGGAAAGGGAACGCCCAGCCTTGAGCTGCTCAGCACCCGAAACAGCCTGCCCCAGGGGAGCCTCGATCTCTTTGAAGTCTCCTATTTGTATTCACAACACATTCTCATTTTGTACTTTACTTTTAAGAGAGCTGCATTTATTTTAATATTTCAAATTACTTGCTATCAAGTATAACTGAAACTCTGGGAAGCTGTAATTCCTCTGTGGCTTGGTGAACCCTGACCCACTGCCCCCAGGGCAGACAGAGGAGCAGGATTCTGTATGTTGATGCCTGACAGGCTCCTACCCATCCTTCAAAACCCAGCTCATATGCTGTTTCAACATCAAGCCTCCCTGTGGGGTCAGCAAGCCCAGATTGCTCTCTCTGTCCTAGAGCACTGTTCTAGTTTAGCTTCCTGCCTGCACTGAAATCGCACAGTGTCTTTTCTTCTTGGAGGATGACTTTCATGTGTTCGGTCTACTGGGCACATACCTTTAAGTACCCTGCAGCAGCGAAGAGGCTTGTTAAGTTTTTGATGAACAAAGCATTGGAGATGATCGAATACATTACTGTGTTAACCCCAGTTACTTTTCCAAAGAAACTGGGAATTGCTGAAATAATGTGAGTCTACTTCTGAGTCCCAAATTCTCTTAAACACTCTTAAATCTTGCTTTAAGCAATTATGTTAGAACACATGAGCTTGCCCGGGCGTCCAGGTCCCTTTATACTGCTGACGCTGGGCATGCCATGCATGGCAGCTCCTGTCTCTGCATTTGCCAGCTACTACTCAGGAACATTGTCAGACTTCATGAAATAATGTTTCTAAACCACTCTTTGGAAGTAAAATGCCACAGAAATCACAGTCGCCTATTAAGGTGGTTGTTTAGTGCTTCTTTAGTTAGCAGTTGAGTAGAACACTTGTATTTCTTCCCAGATAAGTCATACTGAGTTGCTGGATGCCTTGATTCTCAGGCCCAAACAGCATGTTGTATCTATTACTGTCTGGTGAACTTGGGGATTAGACTGGGTATATTTCCTCTCTGCTCTGGGCGTTTTCAAGGTGTTTATCTCTGTGAACACGGGTCTAGGCAGCTCCTAGCCTGATACTGGCACATACATGAGATGACAAGGAACACTACTGCATCCTGGTGGACATATGGATACTTTTGTGTCCCCATGTTATCCGGTATTTTAAGAATTAAATCCCAATTTTTAAAATGTCACTGCTTTCATGAAGCATCCATAATTCTTCCACCTCAGAGTCTCAGGTGTGTTACTCCAGATTAACTGTATCTCGTATAGGATGACCGACCATCTGAAAACTGAACGGTAAGGTGTTTGAATTCTAGTAGTGTCTGTACATGTGTTGTCCGATAGCAGCCAGCGCAGACGTGACGCTACCGCAGTCCCTTCCTCGGCCGCACCAGCTCCCAAGCCCGTGCTCAGCAGCCCCGGTGGCCGTGGCTGCGCCGTAGGTTCTGGGTGGAGTGTCTCCATCGCCGCCGAAGGTGCCTGTGACAGTGCTGTCCTCCCAGAGTATATCTAAACGACTAGTGTCTTTAGCTGAACTATTTCGACCTTTCCGCTGTCCCCATGCGCCCCTGTCCTGAATGTCTCCGCCTTGTACTATAACGAAGGATTTTAATCGTTCGGGCCTTATAAACAGTGGCGTCTCCAAGGCCACGGCCTGAGCACAAAGACACCATCTGGAGGCGGAGGCCCGCGGCTCCAGCCGTTTCTGAGAAATGCCTGCGCCTGGAGCTGCTCCCAGGACTCTGCCGGCAGCTGCTATGTTTACAGCTGTCTGAAGGCAGCACCCTGCTCCGTGTCCATGGTGCGTGCGCACGTGCGTGTGCCTCAGCCGTCTGCTCCGGCTGCTGGCAGCCTGCTCGGCAGCTCGTTAGTTAAGGCGGCGCAGGGAGCGCTCTGATCGCTGGAATGTTCTGGTGCAGCGATCAGCCTGACGCTGCAGGAAAAGCCGCCAAGGCAGCAGTGTCCATCCCAGGTGTGACGTTGGCCACCAGGACTGTCTCCAGGTGATCAGAGGTGCAGCGCTGTCCCCCCAGCGCGCACAAACACGTCTCAGCTGAACACGCTCAATGTGCAGGGGTACACCCTCAGGAAGGCGTCACAGAAATCAGTCGGCAGTGCTGTTTCAGACTGTCTTGGAAAAGAGTGAACTTGGAAAGAAGGGTAGGATCTCTGCCCACATCTCACAGTTACAGCCTTCAGGGGTCCCTGACAACGAGGCAGTTTTTCAAACAGTAACTTAAACGTATTTATTCTCATGTTTCCTTAGTGATGAATCATTCAGAATGTTTAGGGATTGGCAATGCTGTAAGGACTGTGCAGAGATTAATTCACTTACATTTTATAACCAACTTAGAATTAGGCGTCACAATTGTGTCCACTTCAAGGATGAAGAAGCTGAGGCACGGAGCTGGGTGCCCCAGTGCTCCCTGGCCCAGGCGGTGGCATCAGTGGACGAGTCGCTGGGTTTGTGAGAGGCTCCTCTGCCCTCCCCTCCCAGCTGTCGGGGGAGGGAGCTGTGGGACCGTGTGGGAAGGGAGAAGAGGGACTCAGTGCTCAGTTCAGCCCAAAGTAGAAAATGGAGGCAAGAGAGGCTTTTTTTTTTATCTTCACTCGATATTTTTCCATTGATTTTTCGATAGAGTGGAAGTGAGTGAGTGAGAAACATCGATGTGAGAGAGACAAATCTATTGGATGCCTCTTGTACGACCCTGCCCGGGGCCAGGGTTTGAACCTCCAACCCAAGTATATGCCCTTGACCAGCAATCAAACTCTTTGGTCCATGGGCTGACACTCTAATCACTGAGCCAAACTGGCCAGAGTGAGAGAGGCTCTTTAAAATATGTACTGAATCCATACTTAGGATGTGTGAGGATATTATAGATACATATGTAATTCCATCAGAATAGATGTGACTTGCAAAAGTAAGTTTTTTCTAATTCAGAAAATATATGTCGAGCAGTGGGCTAGCGCTGGGGGGGTGGAAGCAACCCGGAGTTGACTAGGGCACTTGGGGAGCCCGGATCAGGGCCCACTTCACGGGGGCAGTCCGAGACAAGCCAGCACCCACATCAAGTGCTCTCAGGGAGGGTCACAGTGCAGAAGAACATAGAAGAGACAAGGGTCCATTTTTGTTTTGTTTTTTAACGTTTTTTCTTTCATTGATTTTTTTTTTTTAGAGAGAGATAGAAACATTAATTGGCTGCCTCCTGCACGCCCCCTACTGGGGATGGAGCCTGCAGCCCAGGCATGTGCCCTGACCGGGAATCGAACCGGGACCTCTCAGTCCATGGGAGAACACTCAATCCACTGAGCCACACCGGCTGGGTGAGAAGGGCCAGTTTTGAATGGGAAATCAAAGAGACGTCAGAGAGGAGTAGCTTTCGAGATCCAGCTTCAGAGATGAGTAAGAATTAAAACTTAAAAGGGGAGGACATTAGAAGTTATAGTTGTGAAGTCCACACATCTGAATGACTGTGATGAGTACTGTGAAGATAAGAAGGCTTAGGGGTGAAATAATGAATGCAGAGCATGTGTAGGGGGACAAGGGTGGGGAGAAGAAGATGTGTCTAAGGAAGGTTTTAAAGATTAAATGTTTTCACTTTCAGACTACCTAGCAAATCACAGATACTGAATTCAAGAATTCCTACATCTCATTCCATTGTACTTCATACCACGTAAATTTTTATGGCCAAGTTTAATTTAACATTGAAATAAAAGCCAATAAACAAGTACTAGAAACTCCTTTTTCACTTTCAGATGTGTTTTTGCACACAGTCTAAAAAATATTTTCAACTTTGGAATGGGATAAAGGAGGGAAAACCAAGACTAAATTTCTGAAAATGTTTTATTTGGCAAACATTTAAACAAATCCATGTCAGAAGCTAAAATGTTTGAGCACTACTAATTCCTTTTGACCTTAAAAAACAAAACAAAAAAGAATAAAAACATTTCAAATACGAGGAATGAAAAACTAAGCAAAATAAAAGGACAGCGTTTTCCTGGCCCAGAACAGTTTCCCTGCAGCTCGTCACTGTAGCTCTGGGATGGAGCAGAGACTTTGCGTGCCAAACATCACCCGCGGTCACGTCGTGCTGACAAGTGTCTGAGTTCACACTTTCTCTTCTTTTCATCTCTGCTAATTTAATAGCATCTTAATATGCCTCACACGACCTGAGAGAAGGTGATACGGCTGCATTTTAAAACACATTTTCAGCGACCCAAAGGAGAACCTTCCTAACAGCTCTTTCGTATTCTCTGGCAGATGACGTTTGATCCAGAAATCTTCTTCAACATCCTGCTGCCACCAATTATATTTCACGCGGGATATAGCCTGAAGAAGGTAGGTTTACCGTGAGCGTTTTCTTCCTTATCGTCAAGGGGAGGATTTTACCAGCACTACTGAAAAAACAGTCATTTTATGGGTTTATCTATTTGGTAAGAATATCATTGTCTTAGATTACGTGATATAGATTGAAACCTGACATGCTCAGAATGCTCCTCAACCTGCGGTGGACAGTACAATGGCTAAGCCCTTGAGATGCGCTGGTCGGAATGAAGATGAGCTTTAAGTGTAAGATACACATGGCATTTCTCAGACCTAATTTTGAGAAAGAATATAAGATATCTCCATAATGTTTTATATTGATTTCATGTAGACACGATCATGTTTTCGGTATATGGGGTTGAGTAAAATATATTGTCAAAATTCATTTTGCTTTTTTAAAACTCATTTTAAGGCGACTACTAGAGCATCTTAAACGACATAGTTTGCATTCTGTTTCTTGGCCATCGTTATTCCGGATGGTTGTAATCAAAGGGCTGGCTGCTGAGTGTCATGGGGCTCGTCGGCAGGGGGCGCTCAGGAATGTCCTGCTGGCTCTCACTGCTCAGAGAGGAGGCAGCCGCAGTCTCAGGGCACTTGCTGCCATGACTCGGGCCCACCGGAATGTGCCGGGCTCACCGAGCAGTCATCCCCTGGGTAGGAGAGCTAGAGTCCCTGTGCCAAGCGTGAGGCTCTGGCCGCTCTGAGTGCAAGTGGCAGAGGCCAGGAGGCTGCTGTTCTGTGACACACCTGACCCAGATTCCCAGCGGTGCACCAGGGCCGGGGGCTGCGGAGCCGGCTCCCCGCTGCTCCCCGCTGCTCCCCGCTGCTCCCCGCTGCTCCCCGCTGCAGTCGGTCTGGCTAAGTAGGCCCCGCTTACAGAACCAGAAGCGAGCAAGCACTAGGAAGGGTCAGGCGGCTTTGTTCAGGTGACTTCCTCACCCCAGCCCCAGCACCAGTGCCTTTTTGTATGATTCTTTAAAGTAAGTTGTTGTGAGTGATTAAAGTTTGTGTCATGACATTCAGAGGAAACACGAGCCAGAGATCCAATAATAGAAGTCAAAAGGCAATTTAAAACTTTTAGAATCGTAGTTGGAAATCCTTAAGGGTCCCAGTGACAACAAACTAGAAAGCCCCCTTTCCAGGGCCCCACCCTGCCCTGTCCCTCGGGTCTCGCCCGGCCTGGGATGTGGTTTCCTCATCCCTACTCCGTCACCTTCCAGGGGTTTTCTCCCTCCTTCTTTGAGAAAGCTCTGTGCCCTGCGGTGTCGTGTGGGTAAGTCTTGCTGTGCACGAGGCCAGGAACTGAGGCCCCAGCCACAGACTGGCCGGAGTAGTGAGACGGGAGGGGGGCAGCAAAATGCAGGCGCTGTTTCTGTTTCCTGTTGCACCAAGAAAACATGCCAGTGTACTACACAAAATCTATGTATTTTTTCTCCCCAGAGACACTTTTTTCAAAACTTAGGATCTATTTTAACGTATGCCTTCTTGGGAACTGCCATCTCCTGTATGGTCATAGGGTAAGTGACATCGAGGGCCCTACTTCCAGGAGGCGGGTGGGCCCTTGGTCTCCGGGACAAATCGCACACTTCCTGGACTCACGATGACTGGGTGAATTGTCTGCTTTCTTTTTTCAATCTATCACCCTTTTGCACATTCTTCTGATTCAGTTCCAAGACTTTCACATCTTCGGACAAACACAAGGTTTCAAATCAAAGCAAACTGAAATTTGATTGTGGGATTTGCTCTGAATTTGGGGCTTCTGACTTAGGGGATGTGGGTAAGTGCGCTTGGACTGTGTGAGGCACATCGCCCTTTCTTTGGCTTGTAGAACACGGATAAGCACGCGGCATCCTTTTAAAGATCTTTGCAGGAGCCTATCTGCATTTGACAGGGGTGACGGTCACTACGTCAGAGGTTTTCTCTCTAAGGGGAGTTTACCCGAGAGCAGTCCCAGAGTGACAGACATCTCCAAATGTCAGCAGAGTCGTGAATGCTGCTACGCTGTAGCACACAGACCTACTTCTTTCTCATGCTGTGTTGTTGGTCGTGCTGTTGCGTCCCAAGTCTAACTCCACAGACTCTGGCTTGCAGCTCCTCATAAAGCCAAACGTGGCACAAAAAATTTTAGTGGGTCCAAATTCTAAACGTCCACTGCAGAGGGCACATGCAGGGGCTGTGACTGATGGTACGAATCGTACACGTCTGCACAGCCAACCCTGCCCTGAAGTTCACTGCGTGCTCTGTCACGTCCCAGCACAGCAAGCGGAAGCGACACACGGCGCTCGTCCCCCCTTCCCTGTGAATGGTTAAGGTGCCTCACTACTCGTATATGAGAGTGGGAGGGGGTACGTTGAATTCTCCGTTAAATTTGTATTGACTCCAGCCTAGAACAGATCAGGCTGTGTCAGTGCGGAAGCTAAGGGTTTTAGCGCCCGATGTGGAGGCTGGCAGGGTGTACACTGGGGGCCTCATCGAGTCCGGACACCTACGCGGTTTTTACACTGTGACTGGGAGGCGCAGTGGTTTGATCCTTCTCAAAGCATGTTCAGGGGAGGGCTTTTCTGCTCTGTGGCTGTGCCATAGCTTAATATTCAAATCTCAAAGCTGGCAAGGGCTTTAGTGATCCGTGTAATTAAAGCCCCTCATTCTGTAGATGAAGAAAGTAACATCTTGAAAGGCTAATCAGTCATCTTAATCATCACCGTCACATGGTCAGGCCAGAATTCAGAGCTCGGGCTTCCGGCCTAGCAGGTCTCACCATCACCCCTTCCTTGGTGCAGTTTCTCTCGAATGTCTGCACCTCGTTCCCATGTGTTGACAGAGTCTCTGAGAGATGCCAACTCAACAAATGTTCATCACTTGATAGCAAGGACTGATCTTTAGCAGGTCTGTAATATGGATTTCTGAAATGTATAATGGATTCGAATTCTAAACTTGTGGACAATGCTCTCAACTTATCAATTTTCATTATTTCCGTGTTTCCTTTGCATAACTGATTTTAAGTATATTCAAGTGCATGCATTTATATAGTGTGCTTTGACTATCATGAAAACCTATAAATCTAATTTTTAAAAGTGCAACAATGTATAATGTGTGTGTGATATAATTGAAATATTCTAAAAAATTCAGTTCGAGAGATCTGGCGATATTCATTGACTGAAATTGAGAATCTCCTCTAATGGATTGAAAGGTTGCAATCAATGATTTACATTGGAAAGCGATTTGAGTAACTTTTAGAGCCATGTTGTTTGTTTGACCTGAGCATAATCTGAATAGCAAACATCTGCAGGGTGCCTTCTGAATGTGGGTCATTAAGGGCAGGAGGGATTGATCGGTAGTTGAGATTTTAGGATCTTATCTACAAGGTGTAAGAGGTCATTGGAGGACTTTAGCTTGAGTGGACGAGGTCCGATTCACACTTGGGGAAGGTCATTCTGCTGATGGTGTGCGGCAGACACTCTACGGTGGGGTAGAGATGGCAGCCAGGGCATCTAGGTTGGAAGTGCTGAGGCCTGGCCTCAGGCGGGGCAGCAAAGGTGGTGAGGTGTCGTCAACCAGTTGAAATCCTGAGAGAAAATGGGGTCGTTCCGGGCAAGTGTGGAGTGGGAAGGGAAAGTACCTGGACCACAGCTCTACCCGAAGGGAGGAAAGAGGTACCACCAAAGACTGAGAGGTTGGGCCCAGGAAACGGAGCAGCCCTTCACGGCTGTGTCTGGAAGGCAAGGGAAGAGGCAGAGGGAGGGTGGACAGCGGCGAACATGGGAGGCGGCCAGGGGGACAGGAATTGGCGTGTCCGGTGCATTCACCCGAGGGGGTGATGGTGGCAGAAATAGGGGCAAAGTAATGGCAAGTCTAATAGTTTGGGGTACTGTATGGCAAGAACCAAGATTTTATTGCTATGTTATTATCTCCAGACACAGTTTCCAAACTTCTGAAGGAAAAGGACAAACTGAACCTCAGACCAAGCTAACAGTTTCATGGTTTGTGATTCCCACTTTACGAGTCACTGAAACCGCCACTCAGGCCTTAGAAAATGCCCGGTTATATTTTCCTGACAAATTAATGCTAATAAAAACAACATAGCAAACATTTATTGAGTGCTTGATATGTACTATGCCCATTTTAAAAGTACTTTACAAGGATTATTTCATTTAATCCATAGATACCATGACTCCCCTCATTTAACAGTCCAGGCAGCTGAGGATTAGAGAGAATAAAATACTGTAAGTAACAGCTCGTATTAGTAAGTAAATAGTTTGATTCCAGGGTCAAAATTCTTACTGTCCAAAATGTGTTTACTTCTATTTCTTGACACTAAAAATAAAGTTTAATAAATTATACTGAAAGATCAGTTGGATAAATCGGCATCATTTGCTAACAGGCCACACGTCTCTTCCTTAGCCCCGTGGGAGCGCTCAGTCCTGAGAGATCTTGACGTGGAATCCCGCCCACGAGGAATCCCACTCCAAGAGGGGGCCCGGTGCGCAGCGTGGCCGTATTGCGTGCAGCGGCCGCGGGGGCTCGGGACAGTCAGGGTGGACGGGGAACAGCTTCACGGAGCAGGGGAGTCCGGGTCTTCGCTGGAGGCGGCGGCGGGGTCTTCCAGGGCCAGTGCTGGTGGGTGAGGTGAGCGGGTCCCCAGCGGAGGTTTCAGGAGCAGTGTCCGCCGGTCAGCCCACGGGCAGCGAGGAAGCCAGGAAGGGAGGAGGCGAACGGAGAGGCCGGAGGAGAGGTGTCAGGTGTCGTGAATGAAACCGCGGGGGAGCCGGGCTGTCCAGGCGGAGCCGGGCTGTCCAGGCCGCACGTGGGCTGTAGCGCGGGGCTCAGACGCTCATCAGGAATTGCGGTCACCGGGTCCGTTCCAGCGACAGAGTTCTTCATTAAGTTGTGTTACCTTCATATCATTTCAGAAATTAGATACATGAGAAAGTTTAACAATATCCCTTCTGGCAATAAAATCAGAGAAACCTTTAAATAATGTTAAGGAAGAACTTTTCTTAAAGACTTAAAGCACCTTTTCTAGTCCTCTCCTCCATTTCCACCTAAGAAATAGCTTAGATACAGCCAGTGGGTGTGACTCAGTGGCTGAGCTGGACCTGTGCACCAAGAGGTCACCGATTGGATTCCCGATCAGGGCACATGCCCAGGTTGTGGGGGGCATACAGGAGGCAGCCAATTGATGTTCTCTCTCATCAATGTTTCTCTCTCTCTCCCTTCCTCTCTCTCTCAAATCAGTTTTTTTTTAAAAAGAAGCATCCTCATAAAAAAAAAAGAAAAGAAGAAGAAAGAAATATCTTAGATATAGCTTTGTTTTACATAAAATCCACGTGTTGGAAATATTTCTCTATTCATCTCCTCTGGCTTCAGGAACTATTCCTTGATCTCCGACCCTGTGTGCAGTGTGCACCACCGGGTGTGTCACGGGGACAGCCTCACGCCTATGGCAGCACACCCTTTTTGTCCCGCGAACTGCTTAGTTATCAATAAGTGCTTGTTTCTTAAAAAGCAATGACAATAGTTTAAAACTGTTTTGTTGTTGTTGTTGTTAATGAAGAATTTTTTAAAATGCCACAATTTTGTAAATATTTGGAGAAGGGGCCCTGGCCGGTTTGGCTCAGCGGTAGAGCGTCGGCCTGCGGTCCTGAGAGACCCCGGTTTCGTTCCCGCTAAGGGCATGTACCTCGGTTGTAGTTTGTCCCCGGCCCTGGTTGGTCGTGCGGGTGGCAGCCTCTCGATGTGTCCCTTTCATGTCGATGTTTCTCTCTCTTTCTCTTCCTCCCACACTATCTGAACAAAAAATGGAAAAAATGTCCTCGGGTGAGGATTAAAAATATATATTATATATATATATATATTTTGGAGAAGGGGCCGTGGATCTAAATGATGAAGAACAGGTGTTAATTTCTTAATCGCTCATTTTTAAAATCTCTCACGTGCCAGATACGGACCTTTGCACTTTGCATGCATGACCTCATTCTGTTCTCACAATCCCTGGTAGGTGCTATTTCTAGCGTCACTTTACGTCCAAGGGTGGTGAGGTTGAGGCGACCAAGGCCACACAGTAAGTAGTTGGCAGTAAACGGCGGAGCCCGTCTGCCACCAGAGCCCACACTCTTAGCCCCTTGTCCTCCTCCTAACAAGACATGTTACAATTCTTGTAGAGTTTACAACCGATAGCGCACAAGCCAAACCAACCGAGCCCTCAATAATTTCAGAATTTTACGTTTATCATTACGGCTAACAATTATGAAAAATCTGAATGTTGAAGAATGAGCTCTGAATACGAGTGTAAAGAGGAAATGGAACCTGTCTTTTCTCACTGGGCGTAGTTGGAGGGAAGGCATGAATCATTTTTACTGGGTTAAAGTTCTGGGACTTGGGGTAACTCACTCTGGAATCCTGGATTAAAAACGTTAGGTTGTTTATTTTATTCATACCAGTATTCCTTAGGAATGTTAATTTTCTGGCGACGAACATTAATATAGCACCAGAGAAACTGTGTCTAGCCCTCTGCCAT